GCCGCTTGTAAAGATTATCGCGTAATGTTTCATAACCTATATTATTCCTCAATATTTACTCTGTGCCACACAAAAAAAACTGATATATAAATGCAGTGACTAAACCATTTTAAACCATTTATTTTTATCACACAAGATAAATAAGACCTCATCATCATCATCATCAATAGACTATCATAGTCCACTGCTGGACATAGGCCTCTCCTTAGAAAGGAGGTTTTAGCCTACTATACCACGCTGGCCAGAAGGGTTGGTATGGGGTTTTTTTCAAATTTTCCTTCTTTTTGTAGTGCTGTTGTCCTGTGCAGTTTGTTCCCTTAGCCGGCTCTTACGACACCCACGGGATGAATAGGGGTGGTGACATTCCGTATTCTTTATCAGTCACCGTCATACACATGCACAGTCACAGTCATACAAGGTGCGAGTACATTATAAAACACGTCATTAGTTTTATAAAACATTAAAGCACAATGTGTAGCAAAGGCTATCGGCTCAGTTCACGCTGTGCGAAAGGACAGCACTGGTTTTCTGCAGGCCCCTGACATTTACCACCATAACAGTACTAAAATTAAACTAACCATTTATTCAGGTTTCTATGACTAAACACACAGTGAGTAATAAAGACGGATGCAAGGGCCCACGGTTCTGCTACAGTAATTTCTGTTTAGTAAGAAATTCATTATGCAAATGTTTTTTCAAGTTCATTTGGGACAAGCTTTTTCGCAGAGTTGGAGGTATTTCGTTCCATGTTTTTGTAGCAAAATACTTAAAGCCTTCCTTGTATTGAGCTGTTCTGTGTGCTGGTACGAGTATTACCAAGTTGTTTGCTTCTCTTCTGCGAGTAGTTCTCACTTGCACGTCTTTAACCCATTCTAGCTTTTCCTCCTAGATATTTGAGTGTTTCTTTAAATAATTTTATGTACTACACATGTCAGATATATTTTCCTGAGGTGACAAGTGACTTTAAGCAATCAACTCCTGACAGCACTCCTATAAACAATATAGGCGTGTCCCATTCTCATCGTTGTCGTCATTTCCCATCAGATGACATTTAAGAAAAACATCTACTGTAATGAACAAATAAAAACCATATTTTTGAACAACAGAGTTCCAAAAAGAGAGGAGCTGCATTGTTTCCTGGCGTCTTTCTATGTGGACCTGTCTTTCCAGTTCAAAAATAGCACTAATTAGCTACCAGCTTGGTAGATTATTTCCAATTCTCTCTATCTTTAATAAGTACACAAATATTTCTTAGTTCGTCTTGAAGACATTGCTTTTTGTGATGAGGCCACGCCATGCCGTGTAATATTCTATTGTGCATTTTATGCAAAAAAAAACTATATTACGTTCTAAAATGCCCAACGGGCCTAAAGAAGTTTTATTTATTTGTTTACTTATCAACTTTATGCACATAAGTACAATGGCGGACTTAATGCCATAGGCATTCTCTACCAGTCTACCTTAGGGTGGTGTGGAAATGAGTGTGGAGGTGCACTACCCTTTGGTTGAGAATTATAAAGTATAAAAGAAAAAAAAAAGAAAAAATAAAAGAAAAAAATAAATAAAAGAAAAGAAGTAATGATAGCAATACTGAGCAAAAAGCAATGAAATAATATAAAAATACCAACGTATACATACAAGAATACATACATTCATATTCATATATATTGTGTTATATATATACACATACATATGTATGTGTATATATATAACACAATATATATGAATACCACATATATAATATATATATACCACAATATATAAAGTATCATATTTGTGATGATTCTGCTACATTCCGGTCAAGAAGAGCCCGCACCTTCGCCCTAAACGAATTACGACTGGTCGCCATTCTGATTTCCTGGGGAAGATCATTCCATAGAAGTAAGCAACTTCAAAAATCAGATCATTAAAAAAATTCTTTTCAACGGTTCTAAAACGTCTACTGTTCTTAAAACTCCTATACATATACACTTTCCCCAGGCCATTAAAACATGTTAAAACAGGCAACCGCATCCTGACCGGATGCGTGGGTTCCGACCCGGAAACGGATGTGACGTGTTAACGGAGGCGCCTGACGCGTGCCAGCATTTACCCACCCTCTCGCATACAGATTGCCAGATAATGTCAATAACACGCGACACTAATCTCTGTGTAATTTAATGAAAAATTTATTTTATTTTCCTTACTCTAAACTTTCGTGTAAAAAAACAGTGTTAGTATAGACATTACTAAAATGATTTAAAGATTTTATGGAACATAGCAATAAAACAGTGTAATTTTTAATTTCACTAAAAGTTTATGATCCAGCCAAATTAGTAATCCACACTATCTACATTAGGATAAACCATCACCTGACATCTAAAAACACTTCTGCTAAAAGCCTGAACCTGGGGGATAGGTTACACTGCTACTCCCTATTACAATCTCCTCTCTTCAAACCAGGCAAAAAAACAAGAATATGTCAGTAGAGCATTATATCCATGGCATTTTGTAGGGTATAGGGTTTTCTCAATTCAGACGACTGATATCCAGAAATCACACGTGACATCTATACAAATAAATAAAATTTAAGTCTCTATTTGTAATACCAAAATAATAGGGGTTTTCATGCACACACGGTTAGGTATCGTGCAAATAACCGTGTTACAAAAATTTAATATATTTAAAATGGTTTTCATGCATATAAAAACGAGTTTAAATATATTTTTTCTGTCTACCTGTTTGTTCTTGGTAATCTTGTAAACGGCTTGACCAATTTCGATAATATTTTACTACCAGGTATCTATTTAAAGAGTAACTTAGGCTATTTCACTTCTCAGAAAAACCCTGTAAAATTTTGCCGGGTTCGGGAATCGATCCCGAAGCCGCAACTGCCGTCTATAAAATGCAATCAAATTTCATGCGAACGAAGTCGCGGGTACAAGCTATTTATTAGAAAAAAAAACACAAATTAATTGCATACTCATTTTATTCCCCCGCCATACCTCAGCATAATTATAATATTACAATTACGAAGATAATTCAACTACTATCAATAAATAACATTAATATTTTAGAATTAAGCATCATTTTAATTATTTATTTAGGCTAGCAATATTACAGAATTACATTGAAGCGACAAGGCAACACAATCTATAATACAAAACAATAATATCGATTACAAATTAGTCTATTTTCCAAATTAGATATATTATTCTGTTTTAGTTTTGTAAAAAAATTTTTATAGACCAATCACAATTTTTATAGACTAAAGTTTTTTTTTATTTACAACGTTATGAGCACTCTTTTTAAATTTTTAAACTTGGAATGTGATGTTATCTTTTCCAATTTTCATTTAATGTGCAATTTTTTTACAAACGAATTATTAAAAGATCGGCGGCTAAAAGATTCAGAAGCGGTTTACAAAGTTATCACTAAAATGGAAGTATTTTCGTTTTTTGTAGGATAATCTAGAAGATCTCAAATAAAAGCTGAGTTTGTCGACTATTTCTTATAATTTTAAAAGTCGAAATATGTCAATTTTGTCATAATTTATCATTAATCTTTTCACCGAAAAGACACAAAACTTGACTTTCTTTATATTTAAAATTATAAGAAAAGTAAGCTTACCAAAATGTCTATTGAAAACATCGATGTTTGCTATAAAAAATGCGATGAGAAATTTTAATTTTAATTTACTATTTCGTTACCTTTGGTCTTAGTTAGCTTGGCTTAAATGAAAATGGTTTGTTTTCAATTACTAATCAATGCTGAGTACTATATAGCTAAATATGATAGATATTGATTTCGTTCTTACTAAAATGAAAAAATAATTAGAGTAAAACATTGAAAACTGTTAAGATCTGAACAAAAACTGTAGCACGTAAATTTTTAAATTAAAAAAAAAAGACCAGAGAAAATTCTGTTTGAAATTACGTTCTTTTTATTTTACTTTTATTCTTCAAATTTAATGGTAATTGAAAACAACTGGATCGAATTCTTATTTAAAAAAATGAAGTCAGTTCTTTTAGCTATTATTTACAAAACTTATAATAATAAATAAATACATCAAGGATTATTTTTAAAACATTTTTGTATGTACATTAATTTACAACATGGAGACACAGACCTTTGTACGTTACATTTAATGAATTTTCTTGCTATTTACCTATTACGTAAATAAACATGTCTGGGCGCGTTCAGATAAGATTAGTATTTATGGTAGGTCGAGTAATAAAACCTCCTTTCTGGATTGCTTACAGGTTTTAAATCAACAAGTTGGTTCGACATATTGAAACAAAGATACGACGGCACGATTATAGGTAAGCGTGAGTGACATTGTTTCGTTTTTTTTTTTTTTAAATATAAGTTTGACAAATTGAACACATTGTAAATATACCATATTGGAACTGTCACATCGGCTAGTTTTAGTAAAAAGGCAATTCCTTTTCTAATAATATCAATGTAGACATAATTATATATATTTAAGTTTAAACGCCACAGCTGTTATTTAAATACAAACTAAAATATGTCTTTTTTCATAAATAAATTTAAAGTGTATGTACTCGTATATTTTTAGGTTTTTCCAATTCAACTCTGATTAAATTCCTTGTTGCTTTAAAGAACCACCGTTAGACAGTCATGCTCGTTGTGTTATCGATCTTAGATTGACCCAGGAGTACAGGACTGAGTCCGATATGCCACCGACAGGTGGTATCCGAGGGGATTTCCGCACGGAAAAAAAAAAAACAGAAAAAAAAGGAGTAGAGGACTCACGGCTTTGGATATATGGGTGAGTTTACTTTGATAAGTTAAATGTAGATCACAAATATTGCACTGACGTCTTTCTACTCAATAATAAACATTACCTAAATATATCAGAACACGCCCAAACTCTTATATCAACTTATACATATAACATTTGAACGATTTGGCAATCAACACTCATGATATGACTAGTCCCGCAAAATGCAAATTTAATAATGTCCTTCATTTTCAGAGCGCGCAGGCTCAAGCGAACACTACACGAGACTGGATAGCGGAGCCCTGGAGGTCACAGGAGACGCTGGCAAAGGTTGCAGCTGCTGAGGAGCTTGCGTCTGAAAATAGACCCCGGGCTCGTTGAATTGAGGGTGCATCGGCAAAGGTGTATGAGGCATTGAGGTCGGTCGAGACTCGTGGTAAAGAATTGGCACTCTGACCAAACGTTGGGCGGCATGAGCCATGTTCGCAGCTTCCAGTTCCGCCGCCAGCTGCCTCTTCCACTTATTCCGTCTGTTCTGGAACCAGATCTTCACTTGCGTTTCAGTTAGGTGAAGAGAGGCAGCCAAACCAGCACGTTCGGAACTGCTCAAATATCTCTTCATATCGAATGTCTGTTCTAATTGAAATACTTGGGATCTAGAGAACACAGTTCTCGTCTTCTTCTTTCTCTTTCCGAGGTTTGCATTAGGATCTCTTTTTTCGTCTTTGTCAAAGTCATCGCTCTCATCTACGTCAGGATCTGAGTCCTGGACGTCCGGCTGTTGGGGATATAGAGCAGGGTGTAATCGTGGAGATCGGGGCGAAGAGCGTGAGGGTGATGGAGGAGTAGGGGCTCTAGCTGGGCTTCGGGCTCGAGGGGACCCTCCCGCTGATCCTTCTTCATTAGTAATTGAATCATCTGTAACAAAAAAAAATGATTTATTGAAAAGCAAGGTTTTGTACAGCAAACGTTGGATATTTAAATAAAAAACGACCGTCGTAGAACGGTCGTTATGTCCATGGATCACATCGAAAGATCTTACGACCAGGTGAAGTAATCGTGCCTGGCGGACAGGAGCCAAAGATGTTAAGAAGCTGTATATGCTAATCCAGGCAGGAACTCTCATTGCGCGATGCATAATTAGAAGTTACTCCTACTACTAGAAGTTACTCCGTAGTTCAGTTTGTCTATTGTTGGTATGACCGTGTGGTGACGGATTAAGAATACAGAGTGTCACCACCCCTATTCATCCCGTGGGTGTCGTAAGAGGCGACTAAGGGAGGAAACTACGCAGGACAACAACACTGCAGAGAAGGAAAACTTGAAACAAACCCTATACCAACCCGTCTGGCCAGCGTGGTATAGTAGGCCAAAACCTCCTTTCTAAGGGGAGGCCTATGTCCAGCAGTGGACTATTAAAGGCTGTTGATGATGATGATAGTTGGTATAAAGTGTAAATTTCTTCTAAGTGGAAGTCGCCACACTACAGAAGACAGAATCATATGCATAATCGTAGCCTAGTAATGAGCACGACAGGATCTACCCTTGTCCTATTTTCTTAATAGAGAACACAAGACCAGAAACTGTAAGACGAACTATGCAAAGTTAATTTATCGACATCCATAATTACAAAATAGTAGGTGTTGTAAAATTACCATTTGGGTGAGCCTGACTGTCAGTAATAGGATATGCGCTCCTACACCACACAGTTACCACAAAGAAACCCCACCGGTATAATCCGTAGTGATTTGTTTTTGAGCTCTATTGACTTTACACAAAATGTAAGTTTAGCGATAAAATACGGTTTCCAGTACTCGACTAAACTATTTGTATCGATTAACTAATTCTGAGTACTCGACTATTACTTAGTACTAATGAAGCTTGTTCTCTTACTAATATTTAGTTTGTTATATTATGCGTGTTTCTTGAGGGTTTAGTGAATAACTATTAATTTATTAATTCGAATTTTATTGATACCTAGTATTGTGTTTTATGTATTAGGTTATCAAAAACGTGAGAATAAGAGAACTTAGATGGAAAGTATTGGAATTCTGGTGGAAGCTTCTGCTATTCTTCTATAAAAATGTAAAAGAATAAGGTTAACCAAAGATATATAGATAAAAAACTTTTTTTACTAAGTAGTATGGTACATAAAAATGTCACATGTGTAATATACAAAGGGCTGCAAAGGGGCAAAAACTGACTTGCTTGATTGACGATGGATTGTAATAAACTGTATTTTCCATCCTTATAAGTGGTATTTTTTTAATTTTAACCAAAGCCCGTAAGTATACCCTCCCATAAAAAAAGAATTTTCCAAATCTGTTTATAAATGATGGAGTTCTGGTGTAACAAACATAAAAAATGAACCTACTCTTTTTTTAAGTCGGTTAAAAACCAGTCTGACCCAATATTATTATGTGGCAATGGAATTCTTTTTCAATAATACATCTATAAAAAAAAAACAAAATTCCACAGACTACTAATCAAATTCAAAAATCGAACAAAAAAGTCATGACCACAATGTGAATTTAACGATTTTCTACCTTAACACGAAAGTTTAGAGCTCCAAATAATAAGTACAAATTGTAAAATAATACGTCTCTATAAGACCTGTATAACACAAAGACACGCGATGATTTGAAAGCTCCTGTTAATTTGTCGTGCAACAGCAGCCGACCATTTTACGTGGACCTTTTGATTCTAATGTAAATATAGTATAAATGGGTCTAGCGCACTGGAGGTAGTGATGTGTGATTTGCATTGATTTTAGAAGCCGTGTTGAGTAATCCTTTGTTACCGTTCGCTTGCTGTTTACACAAACGCTTACTAGTTAAGCAGTTTATGAGTTTGCAAAAGCTGATACACACAATATTATTACTTATTATTGCAGCTATTTTACAAAGTAAACGTGTTGTATAATCTTTTTGTAAGTAAGAAAACAGTAATGCTACGGGTTTGCAGCAAGATTTTTGTATTATGCCTATGAAATCTGCTAAAATAGGCCATTGTCTATGGTTAAAGGAGTATGAAGGATTAAGTCATTACTATAATACAATCAATTATTTAATATGTTGTCATGAACTTTTTCTTTTAATTACAAATATGTTCCTTGTGAATAAAAGAAAAACTTGAAATGGAACTTTTAGAAATCGGGCTTATAGGTCCTAGTCCTAATGTACATAAATAAACATTTTAGAAAAACGATTTTGATGATCGAAAATTTAATCTTAATTCTCAAGTCCAACATCATTATTAAACTATATCCGTCTGTGTTTGCTAGTGAATTATATAATATATATTTAATTCTACAGAATTCAGGGTGTTCTATAAACTAGAGTTTTCTAAATTGTATCTAAAGACTTTCATTTATAGCCGTTTGATCTTCATCTTCTTCATAATACTTTGAACTCTAAGACCCCACTGTCAATAATAACTACATAAAAAGGAAAACCGAAAAACCGAGCAATCAAACAAAACAACGTTCCGTATAAACCACATTCGAAAATTAAAACGACCGCGCCACATCGCTAACATAGAACGACGCAACACTGCATTTGGCGCGAACACTTTTAGATAGGAAACGTCTAAGTGCGAGGGAGACAAGTATAGTTTTGTTGTTTCGTCCGTGTATTGTTTGCTCGGTTGGGACGCGTGAAATGGCGCGGCTTTTGTTTCGTCAGTGAGATGGGTTTTGGGAAATTAAAGCCCGGCGCAGGGTGAACAGGGATGTTATGGGGATTGCTTGTTTCGCGGTATATCTAGCTTTGACGCCTTTGTTCGGTTTTTGATGTCAGCCTTCGTTAGGAACAAGTTAGAATTTGTATTTACGATTGCGTAACCTTAGTGTTGTTTCTGAGTATGTTTCAAATTTATGATGACTTGTCTGACACACAATTGCAAACTAGACATTATCCAAATTAGAACTGTATACGGCGTTTGCCTACTGTACTGAATGTAACAGAATGATATAACAACACCGGTCCGAAAATTGGCAAGAAATATGCTAAGGAAAGTAAAACAAAAAATATTTTGGAACAAAAAGCGGATCATGATAATCATGATCATGATCAGTCTATGGATAGACTTCTAGTTTTGAGCTGTTATGTACTATCATAACCTTTTTACTTATAAATGAACAGTCCAACAGAAAAGGTTACTATCAGCCGATATTCTTTTTGTTTAATTGATGAGTTTTAGTATTGTCAATAAAAAAACTTTTTTTTAAAACAATGATTATGTTCGAATTTCGAACAGTGGACAACCATTAGTATTTTATTATTTATCAATCAATATAAAATAACGGTCAAAACCCATTCAGCTAATCCCTTTCACCTGACACCGAATCAGTGTCGTAACTGGAGCCGTGCAGAATCGATTAGGCGCCGACGACGCCCCACTAGTGTAGTAATCTGTTACTGTTACTGGTGGCATTATTTGTTATTTGTGCAAGTAGTGATATGCAGCGTGATTATGTCATTATTATTGCTAATAATGGATTAACGAAAATAATTTATTCTTGGAAAGAATTTCGTGACTCAAAACGTTCTGATATAAAGGCTTATTTTACGGTTAAATAGAAGAAATGTGTTTAGTAAACGTAACTCTTTTACATATTCATATATCGATGAAAGATCTCCCTCCGAGCTTGTTTCCGAAACTAGTTATTATCGCAATTAGTTCATCTGACAAAAACTATAATTATTTATTGACAGATTGCTCAATAAGCAAGTTGAAGTGACAATGAAAAGGTCACAGTCAATTTACCTCTAGGCGGTGTGGTCCTATCTTGGGGTCGTTGCCAGTACCAAGGCGCTGGCACCAAACCCCCATATCTTCCAGCGAGAGCACTCCACTGTGATATTAGACCCAGTCTGAAACAAAAGAATATTACTATAATATAAACTATAAATAATACAGGTTAAAGCTTTTGCCCGTGTCTCCGCCAGTGTGTATGTCGATTATCATAATAAAAAGTTCAATATTAGTTTTATTAAAACTTTAATGTCATTGAGGCCCTACATAAAAGAAATGGCCACACGTCATGTATATATCACTGTGGGAGAGCCATGCTTCAGCATGAATAACGGGCTGATCTGGAGCTATACCAGGACCACACAGAAAACTGGAGTTAAGTAATTCTTTCGTCTGTTTTCACCTAGGGAGTACAACCCTCTTCCCATTCATAATGTTTTTAGGGGGGGGGGGGGGGGGCTGAAAAAGTGGTAACGCATTTGTAACACTTGGGTAACAGGTGTCCATGGTATTCATTTACCATCAGGTCGGTCACTCACCGTCAGCTCGTTTGCCCCTCCTATACCATATAAAAAAGAAATACAGGTCATCAAACATTGACGTTTCATTCTCGCTGGACACATCATGAAATGTAAGAAATTTATGAAATGAATTTTTTTATTTTTTAATATTCGAGATTATAGATTTTACAACAAAGTGAGGTCTTTGAACACATTGAAATTTGAGCTACACTTGACACATTGCGCGTCAAAATGCTCACGAAACCATAAAAATGTACTTTTACTACTCCCCCGTGAAATATTTGACACTACTTACTTAAAACACGCTGCATGATATTTGTAAAATCATATTTCACAGCTAGCTAGCTAACCACGGCTTCGCTTGCATAAATATAATTATTTCATGCTTTTCGATCTTTTAAGGAAGAAAAATTTACTATATTTTTTTGTCCTTGCTCTATTTTCCAAAAAAAGTACGCCGACACACAGTCTTTAAATATAATCGAATTCGATGAACGGAATAAAAACAATGTAATCATCACCTAAACTTACATAAACATTTAAGTTAGAGGTATTTTCAATACTCAAATATAAATAAAAAGAGCAAAAGTGCCACAACAATAAGATCTATCTCTTAGCGTTCTATGAATTCACTGCGACAGCGCCTGGGACTTGCAATCCAGGAATAGGTTTAGGGAGTACTCCTTGCGTTTAACGTCCTCTACCTAACCATATTTAATACGAGTGTAGCAATTTAAGCAGGTTATAGAGGTATTTAGCTGGTATATTACAAGCTGGCTTCAGAAGCTAAATTATCAAGAAACAGAAAATTTACTGCAAACAATTAAATAATTTATTTAATTCTGCTCTCTTGTGGTAAACTGGGTATCTTCGCGTTTTTCACACTCGACTCGCATACACGATAACACACACACACGGCAATACACACTCACACACACACTCACACACACACCTTCACGTCCTTACGCTACACAGTTTTTATTTTACCTATTTTATTTTATTGTTATGTATCTGTATTGCAAGTGCCTTATATTTCACTTTAGCGTAATCTTACATGTAAATTTTCCTGCGGCTGGATATTACCATCCAAAATACAGGCCTCGCCTAGTTTGGTAGACAGCATTTAGTACCGTCAGTGTCATAGATTTTGTACTATTGTGATATTGTACCTAACAGTGAGTGTAATTTTAAATGCAATAAAGATTATTATTATTATTTATTTATTTTTGCGGAAATCCCCTCGGATACCACCTATCGGTGGCATGTCGGACCCGAACCGACTAAAACCGCACGCCGTCTCGGGTACTAATAGCCGGGGAACCAGGTATACCGTAGATAGACTCAGTGATGGCTGCCATTTCGTGACGGATATTTTCTTTCAAATGCGCCAGGGAAGTCGGTTTATTCGCGTAAACTTTGGATTTAAGATAACCCCATAGGAAAAAGTCCATAGGGGTTAAATCAGGACTGCGTGGAGGCCAATTTATGTCACCTCTCTTGGAGATCAATTTTTCTGAGAAAATTTCACGAACTCGTGGCAGAGACGTATTGGACGTATGTGACGTTGCTCCGTCCTGCTGGAACCATGTTCTTTGGGTATAGCCAGGAAAGTTTTGCAGTTCAGGCGCCAAGAAGTCGTCTAACATCTCCACATAACGCTCTGAATTCACTGTAACTGCCGATAATTCCTCGCGCCTACATCGCAGCGTATACGGTCACTTTAGGCGAATGAAGGGGTTTCTGATCTTTGCGTTTCGGATTCATTGCACTCCAGTAGCGGCAATTCTGCTTATTTACGTGTCCATTATCATGAAAATGAGCTTCATCCAACAACAAGATGTTGGTAAACGTTGAAAAGCGCTCAATCGCCTGATTTACGAAGTCAAGCCTCTGACTGGCATCTTTGGGCTTTAATTCTTGCACCAATTGAATTTTGTAGGGGTGCAGCTTTAGGTCTTTGTGCAAAATGCGGTGTAATGATGATCTATGCACATTTAAAGCACTTGCGCGCTTCCGAATTGAAAGGTTCGGGTCGTCACGAACAGACTGATTAACACGCTCCACGTTTTCTACCGTTCTTGATGACCTTTGTCCCCCGGATTTTGGTTTTTCCAGCGTTGTACCGGTCTCTTCAAACTTTTTGACTCATTTTCGAATAAGAGGAATGCTTGGCGCATCATTTAAATGGCGAAAACCTCGAACACTACAGAACCTTCTACGCGCTACAGTCGCCGAATTACCGTTCTTGTAAAACTCTCGCACGCACAACGCACGGTCTGCTCCCGAGAAACGCTCCATAGCGACTGAATTCCCAAGAGCCAGGCTACCGATTGACATAACCCCCGCGCCCCTCGGACTCGTTGCGTTCACGCAGTAAGCTAAATGAATATAAACTTTCTTTTGAGACACCTTGTACTACACGCTTATTTGAAATTGCATAAAGAAATCGCCGGACGCCGAGGCACACACACACATTCTGTAATGATTTTCATACGTGTCCACTAATAATGTCCAGTCACGTACGAACGGCTTTTGTAAACTTTTTTTTGTTGAGCTTTCCTTTACAAAAGCGATATTAGTTCATGTTTTTTGTTATTCCTTTTTTCGATCTCACCAGCGATAAACTTATACTTCAGTAAGTGCATGGCTGTACCCATTTCCGCTCTGCACATCGTACAAGCCTTTTCTGTAACTTTTCCCCACCTTACTAGGTTACTTTGATTGGGGAGAGTCAATTGAAAGGCGTTGAGGTATTCTTAATCCATCACCACACCCAATGAGCCTGCATCATCAGGATGAATTTTAACAACTGGATTCTTCCTTCCTTAATTTTTAACCCTCTTATTTTTGCTTGAAATTCAAAGGACACTAAACGGGTATTATACCCAACTAAATAAAAAAGAATTCTTCAAATTGTTTGATTAATTAAGGAGGTCTGAGTTACCACATTTATTTTTTTCAAGTTGGTATAATCAGGCGTAGGCCAAGAATATTAATTATAATAAAAATAATTACTTCACACATATCTCACACGACAGTCTGATCTCAAACTAGGCAGAGCCTGTACTATAGTAACCAGCCAGCCTTAAATATCTCTAAAAACCTACATATTGTAGATAGAACCTTACTAGTGGAATAACTTTCCTCGTACACTTTTAACAAAAAGAAAAACCCCAACAATGCCGAAGATACTAACAATAGACACGTAAAAGCAACGATATATCACATTGTGTTTGAAATCGAGCAAAATGTTAGGTTTTAGAGTAGTCCCCATTGTTGAGAACAAGCTTTCTCGCTTACCGCCGATCGCTATCGACATATAAATATCGATTGTTGCTAAAGAGATTGCAGCATAACGCTCTGGGGACAATGCTAGTGAAGGGAAAGTGTTTATCGATAGTTTTAGAAATAAGTCGATTGTAAATTTGGCTGTGTACGTAAATGCTTGCCTTGCAATATGTTCCTTAATTATGTAAACGCATGGGACTAGTATGCACCGTTACACAGGCTCTGTGTGGACACGCAATTGAAGCCTGTTTGGACGTCAGGCAATCCAAAGTATGTAATCATTGTTACTAGATCGCTATTGCGATAGATAGTAGAGTTATAAATATAATACAATTAATCTCTCCAAGCCATTATTGCTAAACGAGAGAAGATTTAAAAAGACGTGTCTAAATTCACATCTAATATTCACTTAGTCTCTCTCCTTTATCTCTTGATATATGTTTTGTAGAAACTCTTCGCTTCCAATAATCGTCTTTGATTTAAACATCAGGCGACAACGGGTAAGGTAAAACCAATTCAATAAAAAAAACATTAAAATCAACGTTTTTTAAAGCAATGACTGGCATCTAGCATCCATATCGTCACACCTTTTTTTTTATATTCGCTATTATCTATTGTGCATTGGCGTATTAATAGAGTGTTATATTAGTTAGCAATACAAACTGTCTCAAAATCTTTAAGGTCAGAGATAATAGTTGAGAAAAATGTATGAAAATAGCTTAAACTGATTATTCGATATGGATACAACACTAATGAAAGTAGCACATCATTTGCTACGCTATTAGCTACGCGCCTACATGGCAACCGCTACGAACAACGTAGCAAACGCCTACGATCATTATAAAAGCCGACCGCGAGCGTATTCTCTGCGTGTATTTTGCATTGATTTTACATACACGAAACAATACAATGTTTATCAAGTACACATTTCTTGTGTATTGCACCGTAATTAATAATGATAATACTTTTAGTTTAAAGACAGTGGGTCTAATCAAATTATTAAGCTTGTTTTACCTTAGTTTCAAATACGCTTGTTACAATACACTTGTAAACAAGTATAAAGACGCTTGGTTAAATAAACGGTTTCAAGGGAAAGACGTAGGTATGTTTATTATCTATACAAGACAGAAAAGTTGAAAAAGTTTTCCTACCATTAAAATAACGGTACTAGTTTACGGTCAGACAACAACCTCTATAAAAATCTACAGAAACACAATATAAAGTTATAATAAACTATGAGAGTAACACCTATATTTTTTTAATGTACTCTTTATGTTTTTTGTAACGATTTATGCTGTAGGTAGGAAGAG